AGCACCATTTTGGTTGTTGGGTTCTTTTTTTTTTACATCTGAAAGACCCTTTCTGATGCATAATGAGTACTTAAAACCAGTTTCAGGTGCTAATGTGCAGACAATACAAGATTTAAAAGCTCCAGGAGCCCCTCAAAATTACTGTGTATAGACCGAGGCAAAGCATATTAGTAAAGCTTCAAGTTTCTTTTTATCTGGAGAAAAATAGGTGTTGTGTTATGTGTGATAATGCAGCTCACCATCTCCACCCCCCCTTTTAAAAATTCCTAGATCTGCTCATGCCTGAAAACTACTGGAATTAACACTGGGCCTTGGAACAATTTTAGCTAACTGGAGTTAATGTCCATTTAAGTCTCGTGTACCACACTGTTTTGGTGCTAATGGTATCCCAAACCAGTTCACATCCAATTAAACTTGTTGTCTGTTTTTAGCCTTTAACAATTGTTCCTTTAAGGAATGTTAATTGGTGTTAAATTTAGCTTGTGCTGTGAGCATGTGAAGTAGCTGCACTGCTCTGAACTGCCCTTAAAGGGCTGGTGGGCAGGGATGTGGCAAAGAGCTGGGTCAGGCCTCCTATGCCCCACTACCCCATATGTGGCTTGCCATTCCTGATAAAGCCTGCTGCTCCCACTGACCCACCACTCACCCTCCCCAGCCCAAATTGGGACCACTGCCCCAAATTGTAACAACACCAAGAGGATAAAAAAATGTGTGTAAAGGGCAGTGCTGCTCTCCCAGGTGTTGACTTGGAGCAATCAGATCTGCCTCAAATGTAAGGTCTTTTTTTAGCCACAGAGCTTAAAAACAAGCTCATGTTTCTCCTGGGACAAAACCTTTTATCTTGGGATCCTACAGAGGGATAAACCCACTGTCCTGTGTTAAGTACACTTTTTACCTGGACAATCAGGGGAGTTAATTGCCATTCACACTGCATATGTAAATTACTGTCCTACACCTATTTTGATGGGAGTCAAAGCTCATGACAATCAGACCTTGGATAAACCCCAACATCTGTTTTTACCCCATTGAGGTAAGGTGTGTGAAGGTTGGCCTGACACACCTAGATATGGTAACTGAGGGAAACTGACACCTCATAATCTCCTGCAGCTGTTTCCAAACTGGGAAGAGCTTCAGATGCATAATTTAGCTTAATTAAGAAAGCCAGATAATCCAGTTCTATCTCAGCCATCACATTTATGCTTGGCATTACAGAACCACTTTGGCAAGACACAATTTCTGAAAAAAAACTACCCATAATGCTAAGCAATAAGGAGATATCTGAGATATGGAAAAGAGATAATTGTATTTTTCTCATGTTCAGTCTACCAGCTCCAGAGCTGTTATTTTCAGGGGGAGACCAGGATAATCCCTACTCATCATCTCCCTTCGAACCAATTGTTTTTTAGTGCTATCTTTTCAGGTATTTCCTAGTCAGCTAATATAGTTCATTCATCCTGAAATTTGAAGACTGCTAGGCTGTCCTGGCTCCTAATAATGATATGACTGAATATATGTGAGGTTTTCGTGCCTTGTGTGTGATATTCCTTCTCCAAGCTTCAGCTTCTACAAATAAATCAATAAATCTATGGATGCTTACAGATGTGAACATTTGGACTGACGCTTAACATTCGGAAGACTAAGATCCTCCACCAACAAGCTCCTTATGAACAGTCCCCAGCTCCAGTAATCCATATCCATGGTAAGACCCTGGAGAGCATTGAGTATTTCATGTACCTCAGAAGCCATCTCTCACAGAAGGCTGACATCGAGGAAGAAATCCAACATCGCCTCAAATGTGCAAGTGCAGCCTTTGGATGCCTGAAGAAATGCGTGTTTAAAGATTGTGACATTGGATTTGCAGCCAAGCTTATGGTTTATCAAGCAGTCATGATCCCCACCTTGCTGTACAGAGCTGAGACACGGATAATGTAAAGGTGACACCTAAAGCTTCTGGAGAAGTACCATCAATGCTGCCTGCAGAAAATCCTCCAAAGGGAAGAGAGATGCACCAACATTAGCATCGTCCTGCAAGCAAAAACCATGAGTAATGAGGCAATGATCATCCAGCATCAACTTCATTGGCCCAGCCATATCACCCAGATGTCTGACTCTAGACTCCTGAAGCAAGTTTTATTCTCCCAGCTCAGCCAAGGTGTACACTGAAGAGGCGGGCAGAGAAAGTGCTTCAGGGACATCTGCAAGACCAACTTAAAACAATGCAACATCAATGTCAACTCATCAGAGAATATTGCCCAGAACAGCCCCAAATAGAGGAAGAATCTGCTGCAGAGATCTCAGTGCTTTGTAACCTCATGACAACAACAGAAGATGGAAAAGCAGGAGTGGAAGAAACAACAGGTCGCAGACCAAATAAAAAATCCAGTGTCACCCATCCCACACAGAAACATGTCTGAGCTACAGTAAAGTCTGTCAATCCCAAATAGCCCTTACTGGCTATCTTTGGACACGCAGATAAGGCAATCCTGGAAGACAATCATCCTCAACTGTGAGGGATTGCTGAAGACAAAGACAGACATGAAAGAAAGAAAAAAACAACAAAAAGTGCCCCTGCACTGAGCCCAATGTAAGCCCAGAAGAGGTATCACATTAGTTTGATCTGGCTTGCCCAATGTCTGTATAGATCATGCACTTTAGCAGGGATTTATGGGGCTTTTATGTAATAGCAGGTTGAATCAGCTTTAGATAAAAGCACCAAAAATCCCCACTGAAGCACCCGATCTATACAGATGCTGGGGAGCTGAGTCAAACTAATGTGCTCCTTCTTCAAGTAAAGTCCTGTTGTGGAGTGGGGAGGGGTTTCCATGTCTGTCAGTGGCTTATGATAAATAGCATCCAATTTGCCTTGTGAATTTCACATCCTAGGGAAAAAGCAGAGAGATTAAACTTTCCAAGCAGAAAATGTATATAGGTGGTAAGATTCACATATAAGGTAAATCTGAATACATTGCTTCCTTTACCCTTGTCAAAATGTAGGAAAAAAGTGGTCTTATCAGCGAAGTGCTATGTTATTTGTTGAATCCATCCATATTGATTTCTATTGCTGTATCTAAGCACATTTCCTGAGCAACTTTTGGAACATAACACAAGTGGCCTTAATGACTGATCCAGGTATTGGCCTGTAAAATAATTTGTAAAACCAAG